AAAGGAATGTGATGCACATGCTCAGTACACTGATGACAGTATCTTAGCTACATGTAACTAACTAACAGATACAACAAACACCTATACTTGTATATGCCACATGGAGATTTCAGGCCATGTTGAAATCCCATCACAGAGGAGCGGTACTCTGGGGCAGAGAACCTATTGTCACTGGTTGAGAGGTCATTTAACCCTTCAGTTTTTAGGATGGAGGAGAAAGAGGGGTCCAATAAACTAAACATCACTCCAGTGTTCCGTTAAAATTACTAAAAGAAAAAAAAATCAGTATCTTACGATTCATAGTAATAATAGGCTGGGAGTGAGAGGCTATGGGAAAATAAGTGAGACAAAACCTGAATTTTGAGCCCTGCACAACCTTTGTCCCCTCTTCTGGACATTACATCTAGTTATTATGTGTTTGCAATCTTCGTATATTTCCTTTATGAGAAAAACAAATAATCCACGGAGCACTCTGAGGATACCAAACACGTCCCTCTCTAGGCAAGCAGAGCTCCAAGCTGGGGATCCGCTGTCAGCCCCCTAACACAAAACAGAAAAAAAAGATGGCAGGGCAACACAAATTGCTAACTGAGGTAATTGTATTGTTAGAAAGGCAACACTAGTGTGCAATTTTTCAGCTATCATGATTAAGGATTCATAGCCAAAACATTGCACACTTGTGGAGCCTTTCCCACAATAAAATAACCTCCATTAGCAATACGTGTTGTCCAGCCTTCTTTTTATTCTATTTTGTTTTTTTTATTTCTAATCTATACAGGAGATAATTCTATTGTTATAGTAATCATTCAATTAATTAGTTAATTTATTGATTTAATTTGCAAGCTTATCACCAATAGGACAAACTGAATTTCATGTCTTGGCAAAAAAAATGTCTGTGACGTAATACATTTATTTCATATTTCTTAATTTAGCACACTGCATTTTCTTTAAAACACAACCATTTGAACTCTTCACCTCATCTAACATACTCACATATACTGGCACTGAGATGGATGAGTTTATTATTATAGTGTAGTTTCTCTTCATTTAACAAAATAAAATTTTCCTGTACTCATTGACCACATTTTACAGATTACAATAACATATAACATATCATTTTTCACTGTAAAACATTTTTTATGGAATGCTGCATAATTCATGCTACTATAATGACATTTTACAACTAAATTTAAATATTATTAGTTTTGCAAAGGATTCACATAAAAAATGGAAGCAAGGTCAGAAAAGAAAAGATGAATCCATTCTTGGCTTTGCACAAAGTCTCTTAAGGGAGCAGGAAATAGAGAGGGAGAGACATTCTTCCAAATCACATTCTTTTTCTATTCACTAAGATGTTGGAAGTGAAGCAAGATATGTGTTTTTCATGGTACGTTAGTTTGGACTTCACAGATTTGAGTCACTTCCCTTAATAATGATATAATACCACATAAAATATAAAATAAAATAAATCTTACTCCCTTTACTTTTTTCAGAGTGTGTATATATCTATATCTTTCTATATCTATATAAGCGTGTGTGTGTGTGTGTGTATATATATATATATATATAGTATTCTAAATGGTATAATTAGATCAAATATGATACCTTATATTGTTTATAATTTATATTTGATATTATATAATTTATGATTCTTAATATATCATTTATAATATTTGATATAAATATATCATTTATGATACGTAATATATAATTTATAATATTTGATTTGGCCTCAACATATTTTTATCCTACTTGAAATTCTTCTTGGCATATTCATATTTTATGTAAGTCAAAAACCTGTTGTGCTTGTAGACATTCAGGATATCCTTTGAGGATTGAAAAGACGTGTAGGTATATATACAAAATAACCATTTCAACATGTTTTAAGATGATGAAATTTCTTATTAACTACTCGAACATGCTTCCTAGAATTGCACACAGGTAACATTTTGGAGGATTAAAGAATACAAGACCGTACTGTTCTTTTTAAAACAAACGAAAAAAAAGTATAAACATTTCTCAACATATTCGTTAGAGTTTGTGTGCATAATTTATTTGGTGTCTGGATGGGTTTCAAGGAAACCCTATTGACTTTGAAGTTATGCATCAAAGTTGAAATTGCTTAATCTTCTGTACCAATGAATGTAGTGGGCAGTTTAGCTATTATACGTCATGCCTGGCATTTTCAAACGGCTGGTTGGAATCACATTACTGCTATCCAAGTGTTTGTGCCAGGCAAAATGTAAAACTGTGTATGTAATGAAGGAAGATAATCCGGAAAAGGAAAGTATTTCAGCCTCGATCACAAAGTATCATTTGACAATTATGTACTTGTTAACAGCTGTCGATGTGCTGTTAATGTTGTCAACAGAATCAAAATCTCACTTACGCATTGTTTTTTTTAATTTTGAAATTTTTATTTCAGCAAAAATAGGGTCCTATATCTTACGTTAAGCACTCAAGCTTACCTAGTCAGTAAGCATAACATGTACTAGTGACACATTAAAGGAGCAATTCTTCCTTATCAAATTCAACAAGCAAAGAGATTTGATAAACCACTGGCAACACTTTTCATTAGATTTAGCAATACTCAAAACATTATCAGAGTTAACAAAGGTTTTGTGCACAAGCGAAACCGTACAGACATCTAAAAATGCTGTTTGTATATGTAGAGGTTTTAATCGTGCCATCCATAGCTCACAAGATGCAAATTATGCCAGGTTATTATTAGATTACCTTTTGCAATCACAAAGCTAGAGAAATCACCATTTAGCTGGTTTATGTACTTGCAATCATGGCATATCAACGTCGAGGTAGTATAATTAATTTTTAAGTCTAACAATATGCACAGTTTTAAGCTGATTAATGATTCGGTAGACAGTAATGCTGCCGAATCATTAATCAGCTTAAAACTGGGCATTGTGGTTGTATTGAAAGCACAGGGCACTGGCCAAAATTAACAAATCATTAGCAAGTGAAATACAGGATTTTCGTAAAGGCCTTAGTACAGGGAGTGCAGAATTATTAGGCAAGTTGTATTTTTGAGGATTAAAATTATTATTGAACAACAACCATGTTCTCAATGAACCCAAAAAACTCATTAATATCAAAGCTGAATATTTTTGGAAGTAGTTTTTAGTTTGTTTTTAGTTTTAGCTATGTTAGGGGGATATCTGTGTGTGCAGGTGACTATTACTGTGCATAATTATTAGGCAACTTAACAAAAACAAATATATACCCATTTCAATTATTTATTATTACCAGTGAAACCAATATAACATCTCAACATTCACAAATATACATTTCTGACATTCAAAAACAAAACAAAAACAAATCAGTGACCAATATAGCCACCTTTCTTTGCAAGGACACTCAAAAGCCTGCCATCCATGGATTCTGTCAGTGTTTTGATCTGTTCACCATCAACATTGCGTGCAGCAGCAACCACAGCCTCCCAGACACTGTTCAGAGAGGTGTACTGTTTTCCCTCCTTGTAAATCTCACATTTGATGATGGACCACAGGTTCTCAATGGGGTTCAGATCAGGTGAACAAGGAGGCCATGTCATTAGATTTTCTTCTTTTATACCCTTTCTTGCCAGCCACGCTGTGGAGTACTTGGACGCGTGTGATGGAGCATTGTCCTGCATGAAAATCATGTTTTTCTTGAAGGATGCAGACTTCTTCCTGTACCACTGCTTGAAGAAGGTGTCTTCCAGGAACTGGCAGTAGGACTGGGAGTTGAGCTTGACTCCATCCTCAACCCGAAAAGGCCCCACAAGCTCATCTTTGATGATACCAGCCCAAACCAGTACTCCACCTCCACCTTGCTGGCGTCTGAGTCGGACTGGAGCTCTCTGCCCTTTACCAATCCAGCCACGGGCCCATCCATCTGGCCCATCAAGACTCACTCTCATTTCATCAGTCCATAAAACCTTAGAAAAATCAGTCTTGAGATATTTCTTGGCCCAGTCTTGACGTTTCAGCTTGTGTGTCTTGTTCAGTGGTGGTCGTCTTTCAGCCTTTCTTACCTTGGCCATGTCTCTGAGTATTGCACACCTTGTGCTTTTGGGCACTCCAGTGATGTTGCAGCTCTGAAATATGGCCAAACTGGTGGCAAGTGGCATCGTGGCAGCTGCACGCTTGACTTTTCTCAGTTCATGGGCAGTTATTTGCGCCTTGGTTTTTCCACACGCTTCTTGCGACCCTGTTGACTATTTTGAATGAAACGCTTGATTGTTCGATGATCACGCTTCAGAAGCTTTGCAATTTTAAGAGTGCTGCATCCCTCTGCAAGATATCTCACTATTTTTGACTTTTCTGAGCCTGTCAAGTCCTTCTTTTGACCCATTTTGCCAAAGGAAAGGAAGTTGCCTAATAATTATGCACACCTGATATAGGGTGTTGATGTCATTAGACCACACCCCTTCTCATTACAGAGATGCACATCACCTAATATGCTTAATTGGTAGTAGGCTTTCGAGCCTATACAGCTTGGAGTAAGACAACATGCATAAAGAGGATGATGTGGTCAAAATACTCATTTGCCTAATAATTCTGCACTCCCTGTATGTTTCTAGTGTAAGCATTTATCCAATGCCTGAAGATCTCTTGACTCTAGATCCACTCAACAAAGTATGTAATGCATGAAAGAGTGTAGTTGCTGAGATGAAGTGCACATATGTGTGTGATTTTATTGTTCCCTATGAGATATTACTGCGCATGCACACATCTGGCATTATGCAAGCATACCCATAATCTTGGCAGTTACAGTACTGGAAGACATGGGAGTGACACCAGGTGTCTGCAGATTTCACTGAAGGAAATGTAGATACACATCCCGGGAAAATCTGCAAAATAGATGATTTATTTTATACTGGTATTTTATTTGTAAATTAATCTATATAATATGTACACCATGGTATTGATCTTTTAATTGTGTGTGTTTGTGTATGTGAGGGGAGGGGGGTAGGGGTGTGTGAAATCCTAGGATCTGGGTATGAGTTATACAAAGACGTCTGAAAATGGACAGCATTACTAGAATTTGCATTATTTAAATGGAGGTTTAATGTATCACACAATGGAATTCCCACACTTTGTAAAAAGTTGCAATGGCCCCCTAACAAGACCCAAATCTGGACTTTGAAATTTGTGGGTTAATCTTATACATTGAAAATATGCTTTGTGCATAAGTGTCACACCTACCAGGGGTTTTACAGCAGCATTGAAACTCGATTACAGCAGAACAGCACTCACTTAAAATCATGACCCTCAGGAGCACCTGGGAGTGGGTACAGGGTCCTGAAAGGTCTGTGGTGGCCCGGAGGCCTTTATTGGGAAGAAGTCCAGCGAGATATCCAAGAAGGGGCGAGTCAGAAGAAGCAGTCAGACAATCTGGAGTTAGATCAGGCAGCAGGCAAGAGTAGTCGATCAGGAGTCCAAGGATCAGGAACCAGGAAGGCAAACAGGGAATCCGGTCAAAAGGCTAGGATACAGGAGCAAGGAAAATAACCAAGCACTGACTGAGAGGTGTGCAGGGTTTAAATAGGGAGACAGTGTCATGTGATCAGCCACCTCCCTCCAGCAGGTGGAGCAAGCAGGGTCTATAAAAAGAGGACAGGGACTCAACGCCATCTTGGCTTACATCACAGTCACTGACCTGACCTTCCATACCAGATCCGCAGCTCTCCTCCCCCTCTCTGACCAGAACGCCAGGTCCATGTGGCGGCTGCTATCTTACCGCGCCGGCGTGCTTGCTGCGGACCTCGATGGCAAGAGGGAAAAAGGAAACCACTGCTGACCCGGGAGAGGAAGCTTGGAGAGCGGCAAGCACCACGGCTCCACCACAAGGATGCCGCGGGCGCCTAGAAACGGGTGAGTACACGGCAGTGCCGTGACAATAAGCATTAATTTCCAATTAGATGATCTGTTATTAGAGTTAGGAAACTCGGGCACTGTCTGTGCCAGCTATGCTGTAATGTTTGGTGTCTCTTTACAGCTTAGATCTCAGCATTTCTGGCAAGTGTAATGGCTTGCTGAAGTGCTACTCTGTCAGTGCTGTCTCATGTTTTCATGTAGTAAATAATTGAAGGAATGGTACAGAATAACAGGTCATGATTTCACATGAGTGCCCCATCAACTAAAAGGCTCTTCTTAACAAATTGCCTGAATAGAGTGTGGGGTTTCTGTGAGTATGATTGACACAGACACAGAGATATATACACACACACACACATGAAAGTACACACAGACAGGGAACACAGGCATTCATAGATGGGCACCCACAAGTACAGGTATACATATAGGTACACAAACCAACAGAGGCATAAACAGAGAGACTGTTATGTTAAATATTTTTATGTGTGTGTATGTATGTATGTATGTGTATATGTATGTATATATACTGCTGTTTCTGATCAATTCTTTAAAGCCCAGATTGACTTACTTTGTTTAAATATTTATTTGTACCCCCATCCTTATAGGCCTGTATTTATTGTGGGAGATGACATTTTTTAACCTCCCACAGCCTATCTTTTTTTTTTATATATATATGTATATATATATATATATATACATATATATATATATATACACACTTTTGTTTTTTTAATTTAGAATTTTTTCATTTTTTCCAATTTATATTTCTTTCCCCTTTTTGCCCTTCCTCCGAATCTGACCAACAGTAATTTAATGATTTTATTCATTATGTACAGAGTGCTATTTTTATTAATTGATATAAATTATAATAACCATTTGTTTGCTTCATGTTTTACAGAGGTGCATGAAATCCATTTTGGCTCTACTTCCTTGTATCGCTATAATGTCAACAACTTCTCCCATGTGTAGTTTGTTGCCCAGTGCCTCTACTATTACCACAGTGTCATACTGATACATTTTTGTAAGATTTTTGGTTAATCTAAATGGTATTACAATTTATGTCATTTAATGTTAGAGGCCTGGGAACAATGCACAAGAGGAGACTGTTATATAGGGAAGTTAGAGTTAAGAAAATTGATGTAGCTTGTGTACAGGAGACTCATTTTAAATCATCCAGTATCCCAAACGTTATGATCAAACATTTTCCAATCCAATTCCATTCCACGTTTAATTCCAAATCTAGAGGGATATCAATTTTTTTAAAAAAAGAATGTGGTCGTCTCCACTGATTTAATTTTAGAGGATAATGAAGGCAGGTATCTGATCTGGGTTGGGAAAGTTAACAACATACTGTACACTATTGCTAATGCTTATTTTCCCAACACTGGTCAGTTTAAATACCTTAAAGGATCACTACAGGGTCAAGAACACAAACATATATTTCTGATACTATAGTGTTAAAACCACCATCTAGCCCCCTGGCTCTCTCTTGCTTTCCTAAATATAGTAAAATCTTACTTATATTCAAGCCTGATGCTGCTGGCTATGCCACCGTCTGCCTCAGAATAGCAAGCTATCTGCTGACATCATCAGAAGTGTTATTCTGAACCAATCTCAATGCTTCCCCATAGGATTGGCTGAGACTGACAAAGAGGCAGATCAGGGGCAGAGCCAACACGATTCAAACATAGCCCTGGCCAATCATCATCTCCTTATAGAGATGAATTGAATCAATGAATCTCTGTAAGGAAAGTTCAGTGTCTGCATGCAGAGGGAGGAGACACAATGTTTGGATGCATTTTAGGCAGCCATGACCCAGGAAGGATCTCTAACAGCCATCTGAGGAGTGGCCAGTGAAGTTATCACTAGGCTGTAATGTAAACACTGCCTTTTCTTTGAAAAGACAGTGTTTACAGCAAAAAACCTGAAGGTAATGATGCTAGTCACCAAAACAAATGCAATAAGCTGTAGTTGCTCTGGTGCCTATAGTATCCCTTTAAGACATTTTTAAAAAAGGTTCTGAATGTTTCTAGAGGTAAGCTTATAATTTGTGGAGATAACATTTTTGTTTTTGATTACGAACTAGACACCACTAGGGAACAAACACAACTCCTGCAAGTGCCTCATAAACTGAATAAATTGTATTCCCAACATTTGATTTCACAGGGTCTTTATAACTCATGGCAGTTGATGCATGATGGAGAGAGGGATTGTACCTACTATTCTGTAGTCAATAACATGTACTCCAGAATTAACAGGTTCTTGGTTAATGAATCCACTATAGCCTTTGTAACCAGATCTGATATTCTACCTGTCGGCTGGTCTGATCACGCTTCATTAATTCTACATCTTTGCAAGGAATTGCTGGCGACACCACACAGGTCTTGGAAACTGAGTGATTATTTCATTTCAGAGGGTGATAATAAAATCTTAGCTGAAAAAATCTTTAAAAAATATTTTAATGACCATACTGACTCGGATGGTCATTGCAGTTCAGTGTGTAATGCTCATAAGGCAGTTCTGAGAGGCCCTTTTCTCCAGATGAGCAAGTTTCTCAAAAAAGACTAAATCCAATAATTTAAAAACATTAGCAAAGGAACGTTATAATCTCAATCAGGCTAATAAATTCAGTCCCTCGGGATCAGTTTCGACTATGATTGCTAATATTAAAAACAGACATACAAAGCCACAGACAAACTAACAGACATGTACAGGCATACACAGTTCAGTTCTTGAACCTCTACTTTTCTCCCTCTCCTCACATGGCTTCCATGCCTGTTTCTTTTCAGATGACATTCAGATCTTCTCTTTCCCTTCCTTTACACCTGGTCTTTCGTTCTGCACCTCTTCGTTGCCCAGTGGATGTCATCACATTTTCTTCAAGTTAACCCAGCCAAAACTGAAGTGCTCTTCTTCCCTTTTTCATCTCCTATTCAAAAATCCCATCTCTACTTCCCCCTCTTTTACTATCTTGCCATCACCCACACATCACAACCTTATGGTCATCCTTGACTCCTCATTACTTTTTGAAAAAGATATAGCCACTTTCACTTCTGTCATTTTCACCTATTTAATATTGAAAAAAATTGCCCTACTGACCTTCTCTTCTGCAAAACTCCTTATCCTCTCCCTCATCTTCACCATGCTTCATTACTCTAATTCCCTTTTATTTGGTATTCCATAACATTCTATTACTCAGCTTCAACCAAGTCAAATGCTACTGCCCTTATACTCCTTAACACGACCCATTTGGCTCATGCCCAACCCCTTCTTCTCTTCAAGAGTTTCATTGGCTTCCAGTATGATAGGAGCCTCTCAATATTCAATTCCCCACTAGATATCAAGCTTAGGGGCTTGGTTACTTTTTGCTTTTGTTTCAGTGTGTCTAAATATTTATACCTTGTTTGTATAATTTCCAGTGTTATTTCTGCATAAATTATAAAGCACTCTGGATAAGTGCGTTATATAGGAACTGTTTAAATAAACAAAATAAACATGCACACACAGAGACATAGGCTGCACAGACTGAGGCACATACATACACACAGTTATACACATACAGGTACAATTTAAAAATGGAATATTTGTTTTATGTTTCTCTACCTGTGCATAGGGTTGGAAATTAAGATGGACAGTGTCTGATTAATGCAGGGCAAATTCTGCATACATCTCCCTTTATATCATATGCAATATGAGTGAGAGGAGACTGAAAGCTACCAGCCTGGCACTTCCTGGCCCCAGAGCTGCGATGTTGCTTTGTCTTTTTACCCCCACAGGGAGGGAAACATGTCTATCCCTGGAGAGTTTTGCAAAAGTATTAGAGCATCACTGTGGTCAGGGCCGGCGCGTCCATAAGGCAGCACAGGCAGCCCAGGGGGAACTGGATTCGAGTGACTCGGCACAGTGCTCCCTCCTACCTTTCACTTAGTGTAGCGTGGAAGTGCCCACTGAAAGAGCACTTCCTGTCAGTCCGGCTGGGTACAAGAATCAGAAGCTCCTCTACTGCGGTCCGCTCCCCCCGGGCATGCTACAAAAGAGGTAGGAGGCATACCAGGGAGGCAGGGGAGGAACACTAAGGGAGGGGGGCACTAAGAGACAGGGAAGGGAAAAGGAACACTAAGTGGGGGGGAGGGGCATTAAAAATGAGGGATTTAAGGGTAGAGGAACACTAAGAGGAGGGATGGGGGGGCACTAAGAGACAGGGAAGCGAGGGTAGAGGACCACTAAGGGAGAACACTAAGAGACAGGAGAGGGAAGGGAAAAGGAGTACTAAGGGGCACTAAAAATGAGGGAAGGGAGAGGAACACTAAAAGCAGGGGGGGAGGAACACTATGGAAGAGGGGACACTAAGAGACAGGGAAGTAAGGGGAGAAGACTACTAAGGGAGGGGCATGGGGTCACTAAGAGACAGGGAAAGAAAAAGGAGCACTAAGTGGGGGGGGGATGAACACTAAGGGAGATGGGGGGCACTGAGGGACAGTGAAGGAAAAAGGAGCACTAAGGGGGAGCACACTAAAGGGGGAGGGCGGACACTAAGAGACAGGGAAGGAGAAGATCAACACTGAGGGAGGGGGAGAGGAACACGAAGGGACAGGGGAAAGGAGTGAAAAGGAACACTAAGGGGGACACACACACTAAGGGACAAGGAAGGGAGGGGAGAGGACCACTAAGGGAGGGGGGAGAGGAACACTAAGGGACAGGGAGGGGAGAGGAACACAAAGGAAAATGGAGGGGAGGGGAGAGAAACACTAACGGACATGGAGGGGAGAGTGAGACAGGCTGGGGGGGGGAGAGAAACACACAAAGGAGCTGGGAGGAGTAAAAGACACAAAGGAGCTGGGAGAAAAGGAGCTGCGGGGAGTAAGACACACAAAGGGGGGTTGTAAGAGATACGCAAGGGAGGTGTAAGACACACAGTGGGAGAAAATAGGGCATAAGATACACTAAAGGAGGTAAGACATTTAAAAGAGAAGATAAGACACCAATAGGGGGTTAAAAGGCACACAGGTGAAGATTTTTTTTGGTGGGGGGACTGGGAAAGGGGTGCCAAATTCATCTTCACCTGTGTACCCAAAAATGCTTGCACCGGCCCAGGCTGTGGTAACTCGCGACAACACTCTGAACAGCTCAGAGCTCCCAGGAGCTATTACACCAGGTCTGCACCCGACAGAGGTTGAGATCAGAAGTTCTATGGGTCTCCCTTCCCTCCTGTGCTGCTTTGCCTGCTTGGTCGGTTCCGTGAGTCTCAGCAGCTTCCAGTCAAAACTCAAAAGGCAGAAGCAAACTGGGAAGAGAGAGCAGCATAGAACTATCGAGTCTGGGCCCTGGGCTGCTGGCCTTGGGCCTAAGGAACCAAACCGGGTGTCACCACCTCTCATGCTTGGTAGATAAGCGATGTGCCAGCACTCACCATGTAATTAAAATCTGATAATCATCCCTAACTCTTTAATTTACCCTTTCAGTGCTAGGATATACATACTCAACAGTCCAGACTCCACAGAGTCTGAATCTGTCTGACGATGTAGACACAGCTCAAAGCTGTGATATAATATGTACGGATTTGCACACAAAAAGGAACTTTAAAAATATATTTTTTGATAGTTTATTATTTTGAATTGTTTGTTTTGTCTATTTTGAAGGAATTATTTGTACAGTGCACTAAAAGGATTTCATCAGGTTCAGCCTAGAGGGTCCTTTTAATCATAAGCATGCCAAAACAACTTACTTTTAAGGCAGTTTGCCTTATCGTTTCCAAATAAGCATGGCTGAATAAAAGACAGTGTCAATCAAGCTGAAAATAACTTCTAATCTAAGCAGCTCGAGGAGATAACGCAATTATATCAAGACTATAAATGCACCCATCAAGATGAAAGTAATCCTGCTGACATCTCAAATAGTAATGTAATTGAGTATGAATAGGAAAATCTCAGTTAATCACGTCTCAGATGAGAGCAAAAGGATGTTTGCCAAGCACTGGAGGTGTGATTTTTGGTTTGAGGTACTTGCTTTTATCATATGAGTTCCTCTAAATAAACGGCAGAGTGATATCAGGCACCAGTGCAGATCTCTAAGGTCTAAACCTCCACTGGATCTTCTGCTACACTGCTTGAATTAGACTTGTTCAACTGAATGGGTAAGCATGTGGTTTCTATGGGAAAAAATTGGGATATCTATAGCAGTGAAAAGATGGGAAGGTGCAACACTTGGACCTCTGCATCAAATAAAGAATTACCACTAGAAGAGGAATTCAGCCATGTCTTACGTCCGAAGTAGTGATTGGCTAGTAAGCTTGGAGCCTCATGAACTGTGATTACAGTTCAGATAGCGGCCTATTCGAAGGCACTAATGAAACATTTATGGCTGAACATACAAGATTTTATTGATAACACTGACACATATGTGTGGCACACACTCTCAAACCATGTTGCAGGTGAACAGATTTTTCTGACTGGCCAGTCCCCAAATTGTTTCTTACTTGTATTCAAGTCTGAAGCTGCTGCCTCTGCTCCTGAACTGCCTCTGTCTGCTGACATCATCAGAAGTGGTGGTTTGAACCAATCACAATGATTCCCCATAGGATTGGCTGAGACTGACAAGGCGGCAGATCAGGGGCAGAGCCCTGGCCAATCACAGTCAAACACAGCCCTGGCCAATCAGCATCTCCTCATATAGATTAATTGAAGCAAT